AGTTTAGCCGTAAAAGGGGTGTAAAGGAAACATGATTGCCTATTTATATAATGATTAACAAAATTTTGCAACAAAAACAAGCTTTTATTAGAAAAATTCTAAGTACGCAGATTTGTAGCCCATTATTTTCTGGCTTTAAAAGTGAAAGTTTCCAGTTGCGAAGAATTCGCTTGATTTTTGATAATTTTTTGTTTTTGCTGACAAGCATTTTCTTCCATACAAAGTATTATCGAATTTTTTTTTTTTATATGGAAGAAAATAATAGCACCATCCGAAAAAATCTCGAACTAAAGCTTTTATATTAATTTTGTCATTTGCGTTTGCAAACAAAATTTAAATTGCATGTGAAGAGATACCAATTGCATCACGTTATATCTACATATATCGAAATTGGCTGGAGTACCGGAGGCACTAAGTAATAAAACTCACCCGAAGACAGCGACGCTCTTATTTTTTTATTTGCAAAATGTTGTAATGTTGATACAAAGATTGCTAAACAAGTTTCTTATCAAAAAATAAGCTTTATTTTCGGTATACCGCCAGTGATCGGACTTAAAAAATTATGTGTAGTAGAATCTGGAAAAAAGTGGTAGATTTCAAAAAAAATGTGGTAGATCTCAGGTTTTGTATCAAACTTTGTACAAAAATTAAAAAATTCTGCAAGGTTTCACTTAAATTGCAAACATTTTAATTAGAATCTAAAAAAAAAAATAATTTTAGTATAATAAAGTGCAAGATTGAAGCTGCGTTCAGTTTTGGCAATTTTTTTTCCTTGACGGTGTAAAGCCGTTCCTTATCAAGATATTTTTCGAACATATTTTGCGAGATTTCTGCAACCTTATGGAGTGCTGCCAGCTTTTATTTTTATCACATCATGATGCAGCGAACAAATGTGGCACGTTCCAGAAACCGCTAGTAGGGATTTGCCGATTTTGACAATTCTCAAGTAAAAGTAAACAACGCCTTCTCATATTTATTATTGAGAAAATCTACTATTTTATAGTTTATTTTATCCTCCCATTCGGCTTTGTTTACTTTTACTTGAGGAATTTCATCGCCGCTGGGAATGCGGAATCTTGTATTATATCACTCTTGTAACCATACAGTGTTTAGTGTTGGACAATTTTTGCTCTTAAAATTAAGAAAATTATGTCGAGCAAAAATAAAACTACTCAAATACGCGAATATGTGGTAGATTTCAGACCTTGTGTGGTAGATGTGGTAGATGCTCAAAAAAGTGGCAGATCTACCACAATGTAGTAGAAGTCCGATCACTGTATACCGCCTGAAAATATGCTTGTTAGTCGAATAACAAGCTCAAAAACAAGAAAACAAAAAAAATATAAAACAAAAACACTGGCCAACAAACAATTTGCGTCACAGAACTGATAGCCGACTTTTATACATACATATTTAGGACTTTAGTGCAAACTCAGTAGAAGAATAAGGACCGATTTCATAATAAAATTAAAGACTATTTTAAAATTTAAAGGATGCTTTATTTTGCTGATCGATTTTATAAAGCCACTTTAAAGATAAAGATGCCCATAAGAGGTACTTTGGTTAAATACCCAAAACGGAAATTTAAATGACATAAAGGTCCCTTTTGTAAAAAAAATGAGGTAATTTTCGTAGTTATAATTACATATTTATGACAAGCAGCTGATGCAATTTTGCCGAGATCAGCATTGCCAACATTGTTATTTCCATTTAATTATTTATTAATTATTATTCAATTGCCATTGCATTATGAAAACACTTCTTGTTTAAAGTACATTTAAATGACACATTAAGTAAAAGGAAACTTTTGCAAAAGGAGCTTCAAGTGTTTCATTATGAAATTGGCCCTAACAATGGTATACAAATAATAAGCTCATGTTTTTTGAAGGTGTTCATTTTCAAAAGGTAATCATCTATAAAAAACATTTGAAAACATTTGTTGCCATTTGAACTTTGAAGGTGTACGAGTCAAACGGTCCTCAGATTCAGATCCAGCGGGTCGAAATACATGTCGGTAGGCGGGTCTGGCTAAAAGCATACACCACTTCTGTTTTGTGTGCCGGTGGTACCATTCAAAGTGCCCGCCGATAACATATTCCCTAGGGCCCGGCCCCGTTCTTGACGCCCCTGCAGGCAACTGCTGTTATTGTTTGGGCCGCATGAGGTTATTCAGAGTAAATACTCTTTTCATTACACAGTTGCACTCGGAAAAAATTTAAATTTTCCCATAAAATAAAAATTATTTACAGTCAAACATCCATAACTCGAACTTCTATATCTCGAACTTAATTGTGTGGCAATAGGATTTAGAGAATATAATACACTAGAGTCCGACCAATTAATCGGCATCGGCATCGCCATGGGCTAGTATCGGCCAAAAGAATCGTCATCGGGAGAGCCACGAAATCCCCGAAAACAAAATCCCCAAACACGAGATCCCCAGTTTCAAAAAGTCCCAAAATACATTATCCCCAAACTCAAAATCCCCAAACACGTAATCCCCACACTTTTTTTTTGTGACAGTGTCACAAAATCCCCAAAACACAAAATCCCCAAACTTTTGAATAAATGTGATTACCGATCATATAAACAATAGCGCAAGCCTACTGTTACCTTTGTTCTGATTCGTAGTTACATACACCCGATTTACACGATTCAAGTACCTCAAAGCCATTCTTGTTCATTATATTTTGTGTTTTCTATTTGCTTTACATGGTTAAATTTTTTTGAATACAAGTTTTTCGTTCTTTACATGGGAAACGACGAAAATGTCAAAAGCAAAGCAAGAAACTTGAAACGCCTTGACGGTACAGGCGAATTTGTACTCTTCCCTTTTCTTCTCACCCCTCTCTTTCACTTGCAAGCAGAATTAAATTCAATACTTGAACCCATGGTGCAATAAACAGGCGAAGTAATAAATCAGCTATATCGATTTATTTTTTGTCAATCGGCTATCTTATTAAACATTTTAAAGGCAAATTTTCAAATAAGATAGTGTAAAATCAATATTTATTTTTTTTATTATTTATTTATTAAAGCTTATACAAAAAAATCAATATAGATCCTTCTTTTCGCTCCTATTACTTCACCTGGTACAATTTCACCATAACTTGAACCGTTTAAAACCTTCATACATATTTTCAATTTATGACAATATTTATATATACATGTTTATTTGTGTACATACATATGAGGTCATGAGGGCCAGAGGAGCCTATCTGCAAAAAAGAAAAAAAAAATTAGTAATATGAGAAAGAAGGATCTATAAAAAATAAATGTGGTCTTTTACCAAAAAGTTCATTGCACCTACGTGATGCTACATATTGGATATAGTAAAAGAAAACTAAAAGGGCGTCCCTCGGGCTATTACCGTTTCAATTCTAGTACTGCATTTTAAGGTGCAGCTCATCGTTTTTTTGAAATGTCAGTTAGGGTACTCAAGGCCTAATATATATATATAAAACTTGCACCGTTACGTTATCACTAATTATTTCGCTATTTGCACTTGTAACTTATTTGAGATCTATATCCCACAATATTTCTGTTTGCAATTAAAATTTGTATTTGTCCTTTCATCTTTTGCTTTAAACTATTTTGATAAAGAAATATTGTAATTTTTCATTTATAAAAATGTCTTGAACAATGAAATTTGTATTTAAGTAAATTCATGCGATATTTATTCCTACATTTTCTTTAATTTTCGTTTACCTTATAAATATTTGTGAATGCATCATACAAGTTGTTTTCAATTTTAATTTGAGAAATAATGTCGATTATAGAATCCTCCTTTTTTGTGTGAAATACATACATTCAAATTGGGTCTAAAACCGCCGCAGAAAATGGGGATTTCGAGTTTGGGGATTTTGATTTTGGGGATTTGGATTTGGGGATTTAGATTTTGGGGATATTATGGTACACCCTCGGCGCAATTTTAACAAATGTTCATCAAAATTTTAGACTGTTTAGTCAAATTTTTTTTGAGTACGCAGTTTTTTAAATTTTAGTATAATAAAGTGCAAGTTTGAGGTAGGTAGGTAAGTGTTAATTTTTAACAATTTTGTGTTCACGCATTTTCTTCCAAACAAAGTATGTTCGAAAATTTTTTTGTATAGAGAAAATCCGCAACACCTTCCACAAAAAAAAATCCAAAAAGCAGTAGTAAGTCCTAGTTACTTAAAATTTGCACTTCTGCATACTCAGAATGTTTAAGGAAAAGTTTAATTTTTACTAACATGTTTTTTTCCCTCACGATGGCAAGCACCTTGGCGCGGTGCGAGGGCTTAGTCGAATCACTAATCAGACCTTCTCAACGGATAGTGGTGCAACTATGTGAGTACATGTACTCACCAATTGGTCCCTATCGCCTTGATTAGGGCTGCTTTTTGAACGATGACCAAGAGTTGCTAGGTTGGAGCATCCCGAATTGCATTCGGTGCGTCTCGGGAAGTAGGAGGACGACGGGAAGAATACCCTTTGAAAGGCCCACCCCTTGGCAGTAAGGATAAAATGCAACTCCCCCCCCGCTAACTCGTTGGTGGTGGCCTGGGCAACGGATGTGCAGGCCTAAAGCTCACCGTCCACTATGACCGAGACTGGCACCCAGGGTCTCGGTGGAAGCAAGCTACTGGTGGAAGACGCCACATTCACTCTGTCAATGGAGAGCCTACTCCTGAATGAGGTGGATGGCGAACTGCCATCGAAACTTTCTGGAGCAACCAAGGTTGTGACAGATGAGAAGATGCTAGGTGGTCCTTCTCCTTCTTCAAACCGGACACTGGTATCAGAGATGGAACCAACAACGGTTAAACCTGGTGCGAACCAGGAGAGTACCGGTACGGAAAAATCCCGTATTGGTGATCCTCAAACGGGTAAAAAGCTGACCGCGAGGCAGCTGAAGAGAAGGAGGCAAAAGGAGAAGAAAGCTGCGGCTATGGCCCAGGCGAGTACTTAGAATCCTTAGGTATCTAACTCTGCACCCGAAATGACAACGAGGAAGCGGGACAGGACGGGTGATGACTCATCTGTTCTGGAACTCTCTTCCGTTGCCAACCAGGGGTCTGTGCGAGCAGATGGCAAGAGTCACGAGGCAAAGAAGATGAAAGTCTCAGGAATGGAATCGGACATGCCTTCACGCTCGATCCAACTGCCTGCATTCCAACCTCCTCATGCAGATGAAGTTGTTGAAGGACCCCGAGCGTCGGGTGAGACTCAACCTTGCCCTTCTGCGTCATTCACAAGGGTGGCTGTGGAAGCAATGATGGTAGAGATACATTCCGACAAAGGGAAAGGTTCTTTGTCCAAAGGGCAAAGAGACTTTCTCGACAGCTATTTATGGAAGGCCATTGGTGAATCGACAGACGAACTAAAATTCGAGGGGATGCGCGTGGAGGATAGTATCTTAAAGATACAATGCTCTAACGAGCTTTCCCGAGAGTGGCTGACCAAAATAATAGCCGGGATGCCAGCCTGCGAAAACTGCAAATTCATCCTAAAAGATGGAAGCAGTTGCAGAATGGTGAGAGCCACTGCTTGGATACCGGGACCCTCTCGGAAACCAAGCGAGCTTCTACGACAGGTAAGCAGACAGAACGTGGGACTGAATACGAGCCAATGGCGTATTTATTCATACACCAGGAGAGGACCGACTTCCAGCAATGGAGAAGGCTCTTTCCTGATGGTGGGCATAGACGAGGGCTCGTTGGAGGTTCTTCGAACTAAATGTGGGTATCGCCCTCACCTACACCTGGGACGAATACTTTTTCGTGTCCAGGATAAGGAAGGAGAAACAGGTTAAAAGCAATTAATGGTTTTATATCCTCTAGGTATGACTGAAATTATTTTTACACAAATTAATTTGCAGCATAGCAAATCGTCTACTGCTCTATTATGCAGTAGGCATACGAAACTGCGTACAAATCCCCAAATAATCCTAATTCAAGAACCATGGGTATGCCGCAAGCGTATCTGTAGACCTGGAGGGATTTCCTGGGGTAACGTCCTTCAATTTAAAGGGGCAGTAAGGCCGGGCGCATGCATCATAGTGCCGCGTTCGGTCGAATGCACGATGCTTAGAGAGTTCTGCTCCCAAGATGTCGATGCGATAAAAATTGGGTACTGTACGGACGGGAAACGCGCCGAGGCCATCGCAGTCTCCGCTTACCTGCCATACGATTCGTTAGTCCCCCCTCCTTCGAGGGAAATAATGGTCATCGTGCAGTACGCCGAGTCAAATGGTATGGGCCTAATAGTGGGTTGTGACGCGAACTCACAAAACACTATATGGGGTAGCACGAAATGCAACTTCCGTGGGAACAAGCTATTAGACTACATTCTGTCCTCTGAATTGGTAATACAGAATGTGGGTAACAAACCTACTTTTGTCACCAGCAGAAGACAAGAAGCGATAGATCTAACCTTAACCAATGTAGTTATGGCGGATCATATCAAAGGATGGTTGGTCTTAGAAGAGGAATCTCTATGAGATCATCGATTCATCGAATTTCTTCGAGGAGATGACACTTGTCAAGTGCCAAAAGGTCGGAATCCTCGAAAGACGGACTGGGAGAAGTTTGAGTTGCTCCTTGAAACGCGAGTACCAAATCTGCCTAAACTCAAAAACATTAAAGAGGCGACCCGCGAGGTAACGAGTATTTTGATTGGTTGTTTTTAGGAAGTATGTCCTCTAAGAAGAAGCAGGCAAGGAAAATCGGTCCCATGGTGGAACGCTGAACTTATCAAACTTCGAAAATCTGAAAAGAGGAGGAATGGTCCGAATATCAAAATTAAGCTCTTATAAAGACTTTTGCAGTGATATCGACAACATGAAAGAGTCGGCCAGGCTGTGTGAGGTACTTCAACAGGACTTGACGGTTAGAAATGATCTTAGAAAATCTAAAGGCACTTATACCACGGCGCTGCTAGAGACATACATAACTCTCCTGGAAACTCACTTTCCGGGTAGCAGAATAATTCCTGACGCAGGTAGAGATATGGTGGAGGATAGCGCGTCGGGAAGAGCCACCAGACTAAACTGGTACATAGCACCACGGGTGGTGACTGAGAAGTCAGTGAGGTTTTCCTTAGCCTCTTTTGAAGACTTTAAGTCACCGGGACCAGATGGTGTGTATCTGAAAATACTAAAGTGTGGGGGAGACAGGCTTGTAGGGGCCCTAATAAGGTCTTTTGGGCCTGTCTGGCATTTGGCCACGTTCCCACTCTTTGGAGAAAAGTCAGGGTACTCTTCATTCCCAAAACAGGAAAGGATGACTATGCGCTTGCAAAAAACATCCTTCATGCTGAAAAGTCTGGAGCGCACGGTCGAGAAGTACATTAGATCAAGGGTTTTGGTGAATAGCCCCCTTAGTGTTCATCAACATGCATACCAAAGCGGAAAATCCTGTGAATCGGCCCTACTTGACCTTGTAACAAAGATCGAGGTGGGCCTGGTAGCAGGTGAGTACGCAATGAGAGTCTTCGCTGATATTGAGGGGGCGTTTGACAATGCTACTTTTGACTCTATGTGCTCAGCGGCCAGAAGACATGGTGTGAACGAAACCATCATAAGGTGGATTGACTTCATGCTATCTAGGAGATTGCTAACCGTGGGGGATGAAGCTAGCCTTTGTACCATAGCAGAAGTTGGGAGAGGATGCCCTCAGGGCGGGGTGCTCTCACCTCTCTTGTGGTGTTTGGTAGTGGACTCCCTACTAACGGAAATTCAAGACTTCGTTCACATCCAAGCTTACGCGGATGATGTCTGTGCACTGTCATCAGGTAAATCTCTCATGGAGGTTTGTGTTAAGACACAGAGAACTCTGAATAAGTTAGATGAATGGTGCACTTTGCAGGGTCTTGCTGTCAATCCCAGCAAGACAACCCTAGTCCTGTTTACGCGGGAAAGAAAATTGGAAGGTCTCAACCTTCCAGTGCTTAGAGGCGTAAACTTAAGCCTTTCCGTGGATGTGAAATATCTAGGGGTAACTCTAGATACGAAGCTGACATGGAAAACTCACGACGAGCTGAAGGTAAATCGAGCGCTGAAAGTTTTCGGACAGTGTCGAAGAACCTTTAGCAAGACCTGGGGTCTGAGACCAGCTGTGGTATTTTGGATACACATAGCTTTAGTCAGGCCATTCGTCACGTATTCTGCTGTAGTATGGTGACGCGGAACCATGGACAAAACCACGTCTTCTATGCTAAAGAGGCTAAAAAGGAGTGTGTGTATAGGCATTACGGGCGCAATGAGCACAACGTCAGGACCAGCTCTTAATGCTTTGTTGAATTCGTCGCCTCTGGATTTAGCGATCCAAGAGGAGGCAATGAAAACGATGTGTCGACTGCACTCTTTTGGTCTGTGGCACGACGATTGCAGCTCTGGGCACAGAGAGTTGTTCAGAAGGTTGTCCGAGCAATATCCTTTGTTTTTGGCACCAAATGACAAACTGACACCTAGAGTCTCCTTTGGTAGAAAGTACGTCATTAGATTTCCCACAAGGGAACAATTGAGAGATCCAGACACTCTCTTGGGAAGCTCGGTGAAAACTTTCTATACTGAAGTATACTTTCTATACTGGAGTCTGGTAAGTTTGAAGAGGAGTAATGAATTCCCACCCCCACCTACATATGCCTTTCCTCTAAATCCTGTTTCTTGGCCTTAAGTGCAATGGGCAATACTGCTTGAGTGCTTGGAAAAAAAATTTGTTTTTGGTTTTTCCGGCCCCCCATGTTTTTTGTTAGATAGCGAGCTACACTTTCATAAAAAAATAAGAAACATTAAATAAACGAAAGGGAAATGGCCAAAGAATGCTGACATGTCATTACTATAAGTATTGTTCTTTTCACTGGATTAAATTGTTAAATTGTTTACGTTACAAAAATACTTTTATCATTAAAAATCTACGGTTACGGTTTATTAATAAATTGTATTCAATACAACACTTTTATAGTCAGCAGAAGCTGCATATTTTTACTACTATGAGTACAACTAAGAAATTTGATTTTGAATGAACTATTTTTTTAACATTGAATAAGAAAAAGACTCTGGAACAAAGTATTGCAATGATATGTATGCATAGGCGATATACTACTTTTAATACATATTTATGTGTGTACATTAGGATGGTCCTTTAATGTAGGAAGAAAATTTTTACAACAGATTTTTTCCTACGTCGATGCTACTATAGTCGAAAATATCACATATAAATTTTGGTCCCGATTGGATACGGTTAAGGCGTGTCGCACAGAAGGCAAAGTTCAGATTCCTCTATGGAGACTCAAAAAATTAAATTTTTATTTTTTTTCATCTAATACCCAAAATCGATACTACCATAGTCGAAGATATCACATAAAAATTTTAGTCTGGTTTGAAAAAATTAATTTTAATTTTTTGAGTCTCTATAGAGGAATCTGTATTTTGCTCCCTGTGCGACACGCCTTAACCGTCTCCAATCGGGACCAAAACTTATATGTGATATCTGTGACCGTGGTATTACTGATTCCGGGGGGGAGACTGAAAACAATCGTTCATTTGATTTTTTAAGGGCCACCCTAATGTACATAAATAAGTGAAAAGATTCTTGAATGATTATTTGTTTTGTAATGCTATTTTTTTATGTGTTTCTTATGTTATTTGTTATTATCAAGGATGAAACCGAAACCGAAACCGTGACCGTTTAAAACCGTTTCGTTTTTCAAAACCGAAACCGATACCGTAACCGTTATCTTGACCATTAAGTTTTAAACAATTTACAAAAACAAGGAAAGTTCGAATTTTTCGAGTCATCAAAATTTCGAGTTTTTTAATTAGATTTCTTAGAAAAATTTTGAGTATGCGCTTTTGTAGTCCTTAAGTTTTAGTAGTAAAAATTGCAAGTTTGAAGTAGCTAGGGCTTACTGTGGATTTTTGGCAATTTTTTGTTTCCGATAGTATCGCGATAGTGGCTCACATTCACATTGGAACTATCGATACTATTGATAGTGCCAACGATAGTTTTGCAGCTCTACTATCGATAGTGGCCAACGACCATTCGATAGTACAAACAAATAGAACCATTCGATAGTTTTACAGCTCTATTTTAAGCTACGCTGCGGTAGAAGCCTGAAAATAAATGCTTGCTTACTTCCCACGTGTTTGAAATTTTTATTTTATTTGACTTCACTTCATTAATGCATTCATGTTGGGTGTTGACTCGGCTTGTTTCATATGAGTTTTGATTGCAATAGACCAACGGTGGGCAAACGCGGCCCTTTGAGCCAAATGCGGCCCTTTGCTTAACAAAGTGCGGCTCTTTATACTTTCTCTTTGCTTAAAACATGTTGGTCCTTTAAGTTTTGAACCTAAACTACAACTTTTTATACATGATCTCAAAAAAAGAATATTTCATCGTTTTCCATGGCTAGAAAAAAATATTGCAAATGTCAAAGAGGATAAATTGGACCCCTATGTCGCAAAACTAAATGCTTTAGAAACAGATTTTGAAAAAAGATTTGCCGATTTGAAATTATTTAAATGTACGTTTGCATACTTCATAAACCCTTTTTTATGTCACATAATTGAGGATGAATTTACAATATCCGAAATACTCCCTTTTAAGAAAAGTGAAGAAGAGTTGGAGTTTTTGGAATCAAAAGAAGATAAGGCACTGGAAATGCAACATAAAGCTTTTCCATTGCTTGAATTCCGGCAATATGTACTAGATTTAAAATATCCACTGTTGAAAACAGCTGCGTGCAGTATATTTTAAATTTTTGGTTCAGCGTATCGTCGCCTGTGTAACATACGACAATCTTTTACCAAGGCGACGGTATAACTATGAATCTTTGTACTCTACAATGAAATTCGTAAAGTCAAAATACCGTTCACAATTGACTAACCAACATTTAACAGAACTGTTTCGAACGGCTTTAACTGACGTAAAACCTGATTTTGAAAATTTGGCCAAAGGGATCTTTTGAATTTTCTTTAATATCTATCTTACGTACATTAGAATAATAATAAAATTAATATTTTTCATTTCTAATATTAGTTTTCTTTAAAAATAAAATTTCTGTTTTTGTTGTTTTTTTTTGTGGCTCTTTGTAACATTTAGAGTTTACATGTGGGTCTTTTCGGCCTCGGCCTTGCCCACCCCTGCAATATACCTACATACTTTTTACAAGTAACTTGCAAATTTCTTTTAAATTTTCTTATGAAGCACTTCTCGATGCAACGCGGTACCATACATACTTACATATACTATTTTTCATCTTTTCGCACGGTATATACTCGTACAATTAGTGTATAAATAGTATGCAAACACAATCAGCAGTGCGTACGAGTACAGGTAAATGTAGGGAATCGCTAACAGCTGCGGTCGCGAATAGATCTCTACCGATAGATTATGTATTAACATTTTGTGATTGCTTTAAATTTTTTCGTACCTTTTTGTGTATGTGTACATATTTATGTTTTTACAGTGCAGTGGCGATAACGTGAACTAATTAAAAACCAGAGACCGAAAATAAACACATTAAACACATTGTAAATTTTTCTATCATTAACCATTTATTTTTTACTTAATGTGATATATCACTGTGATTCAGCTTACGGTTAATGACTGTGAGAAATGAAATCGCTACGAAAATAAAGGTCAACCGCAGTTATTTATGCCATTTTTTTTTTGTTTTGTTAAAAAGTTGAGTTAATAAATTTAATTATGCTGCAGAGAAAATATATGATGAAAATGCAACGAAGTAAAACAAACTATAAAGAATAATAAGTACAACTATTTTTATTCACTCAAATAATCACCGTTATAAACTTTTTTTCCAAACTTTACACACTGAAACTTTTTTATCACTACTCGTATCCAATTTCGGCCCATCTTCTTTGCTTCAATAAATAAACTCTACTAACTAGAAGCAAACTACCGCATCACTTCACTCAGTATTTTTAACATACCTACTTGGCAGAGCTGTAAAACTGTGAAATCATTTAAATTTTGAATCTTGAAATATTTACAAGTAGGATTTCATTATTTTTCCTTTTTTCTGGTAGTGTGGCTTATATTTTTTTCAATCTACAATCATATGTTTTAGATCCATCGCACACCACGGACTTTATCGGCCGCCGATTTAGTTGGGCTCGCTAGTCTTTCCATTGTACCACAACTAATTGTTCGGAGCGATTAAGCTGGTGTAGTGTGCGCACCTCCATACATATTTCAAGCGAGCCCTACTATTTAAATAGGCGGAAAGTTTTCTATTTCTACGTACAAAATTGTTTGTATAAGTTTTTAAATTTCCCAAATTCTACTTTGTAAAGTTCAAAGGCTTCTACAAAAAAAAAAAAATAAAAATTAAAAAGTTCTCCGAACAAATTTATGCGTATAGAAAGCATGGTACAATGAAAACAGGTAGAAGCCAAATTGACATCAAACCTACAAAAGTCAAAGTTTTCGGGAGAGTAAAAATAAAAATGAGCATGTGTAAGGAAAAATAAAAAAATTACATTTCGCTGGTTGACGTTTTTAAGTAAATTTGAAGTTTTGTATTTATTTATTTATTTTCTTTAGTTAAAATTTGTTAATTTGTATGTTCTTTTCTATTTTTTTATACATTGAAAGTTTATATTTATAGTACCTGTTTTAATTTTGTATAATATACAAATGTATGTATAAAGCGATATATGTATATATGCTTTCACAACTTGATTTATGAGTTGCAGTGTTGTTGGAAGGACTTTCCGGCATAAGGGTCATAGGAAGAGCACTTGGCATCAAACGTGCCTTTCCTGTACCTCCTGGTGCATTTATGAAATCTGCTGCTTTAAAATGCTTAACGCACAGCAAGGCATTTCGCTGCAGCTCTACCCCACAGCTGCTTTCCCAACGCCCCTTACGCCGAGGGCATTGAGGCACGTTAAAAAAATTAGTGATGTCTGCATTATATTTAACACCACATAAAAAACAACGCTTCAGGTGCTGCATTTTTAACACATACACTAAGTATAAACCGCACAACACTACAAAAATGCAAATGTTAATTAAAATTTGTTTTTAACGAACATTCAAAAAAAAAACAAACGACATGACATTTTAAGCGTAACGAAATATAGGAAATAAAATAAAATCAAGTTGAAGTTTAAAGGTTTGGTTCTCATGAGAGCAACGTCATTTTGGCTTCTACCTGTATTTATGTGCCTTGTATAGAAAGCCTGCTACTTCATACATATATATGAGCGCCTGGTATTGGGAAATAAAAATATCTCTTTGTACAAATAAAAAATTAGTTCGTTACATAAAATTTAGCGCAAGTTTCCTTTACCGATATGCAGTTGGCTTTTAAAAGCATGGACTGAATATCTAAAGCTGTTACGTACTTTTGGTCATAGGTGATGCTTTACCAAATTGTAGCAGTGGTGGAAAAGCAGAAGCAAATCGACTATTTTCTACTATAAAGATTTTCTTCTAGTGTCGAGGCATATTTTTTCAGTGTACTATTGAATGATCACAAGTGTTTGCATTCAACCAAAATTTACAATCACGATGATTGCGAGTGCATCTGTTACATTCACATTCTATACTGAATGGAACTCTACCATTCAATAACACGTTACGTTTGTTTTTGTTTCAAAATAATTTAAGCCACTTAGGAATGAGGTTTTTTTTTTTATACAACCAATCAAAATTTTGAAAAGAATGCCGAGTGAATGCAGATCTTACAGATTCAATCATTTTACAACTCTGCTACTTGGATACCGTTGCATTTAAAAGAAAAAACTAAAACAAAAGATCAATTCGAAACGTAAAATAACATCAAATCAAATAAAAGTCAAACCAAATCAGATTAGCTAAAAACTTGTTATAAAAGTTATTGCGAGTGATTTATTTTCTATAACAAGAAATAAATGACAACTTGTGACACAGCAATAAATAGGCGGACTATTTTCGGTCTCTGTTAAAAACAAGGGAGTGGGTTCAGGTTTATGAAATTGTTCGTATTTGTGAATGTGAAAAATAAAGGTAAAAAATACTCCTGCCCCAATAAATTAAGCCTTGTGTAACATTCCCTCCGATATCTTACATTTATTACCTTGCATCAAGTTCGTTATTACCGCTTCATTCACCTCTTTCGTTCACATCTTATTTATAAGAACTCGCATTGATTGGCATAAGCTCGTCGCGGTAGAGAAAAAGAACGGTCGACTTGGTTCGGTTGCATCAAAAAGTAGATAATTTGTGAACAAAACCCTTTTTCAATATTAGGGGATTCCCCGAACTCATAAAAAGTAAAACGTATTTACATATCGTTACCTAATGGTGCAATGGCGCCAAGTCCATTTTTTGAAATTATTCAGTAGAGACGAAAAATTGATGTAGTTTCTGTAATTTTTCATCAAAAACTAAATTTTGGAAAAAAGTGGACTTGCCACCTTTTAACCTTTAGGTAACGATATGTATTCTTTATATAGACAAACTGACTAAATTTTTGTCCACGTTACAGAGTAGTCAATGTTAAAACAAAGGGTGTTCATGATAAGCGGTGTTCACATAATTGCGAGAACACTGCACTTATGTATGTATGGATATTTATATGTACATATGTACTTATATTTGTATGTATGTATAGTTAAATTCGAGTTTGCGCTACCCATTTGTTTATAATTTCTTTTCTACACACAACTCCTGTTGTGGCAAATTCATTCCCTAAGAGATAGTGCGATATGCTATCTGTAGCGTAAAATACAGCTCACCTCATCTACATTAGAATACATACATATTTAACCCATTTACAGCGACCGATCGTTAAAAAGATCAAAAAAATTCTCAAAAATTACCTTCAGTTTAATAAAATTAACGGCCGGAAATATATTGTTTATCGTTTACAGATTGGCGCAGTGACCGTTTAGCATTGTTTCGGCGCATACATATTTAATTTAAGGTTTTAATTTCGTAAAGGAATTGCATTTTGATTCGGATTGGTGGAATAGAAATTTGTTATGTCTTCGAAGCGGTAAGTTTTTGTAAAATTTCTTAAAGTAGAAATGTATTTTTTGCACATAATTTATAAATTTATAACCTGGTTAACAAAACAATGAAGTAAGTAAGTTTTTTATGTATTTTTTTTTTTAATAAAATGATGTTAAACTTCATGATCGTTATAAAGATCGGTAGTAATATGGGGATGCATTTTTACTTCAAGGCCAAGGCATAGTAAACCGTTGTCTCTAAATGAAATCATTGACGAATTGGAGAAATTAGATGATGAAACCCCATTTCCAAGAAATATAACAATTTTTCCACCGGACAACGCCAATGCAGAAATTACCGATGAAGACTCTGGTGATGAGGAGATAGTAACATTGAACAATCTTCCAGGTTTGATATAAATCTTATATAAATGTATACGTTTTCCTTGTGTGCCAAGTTGTTTTACATACCTAATACCTATATTTTTATCTATGTAGGTTCTCAGCTAAGAGCTTCGGCAGAGATTGAATACATGTCCTCTGACAGTGACGACGACGACGTACCTTTGTGTTCATTGGCTAAAAGGAGTCGAACAACCGAGGAACCCATCACTGAAGAACGTCAAACTGAGCCTTCTACATCTAGTTCAGCTCCAATTATTAGCAGACCATCAGCCGTTCCTTTCGTTGATCCAACCGTACCGAACAATGAAAAATATATTTGGAGAAATCGCCACAATCCACGCGACCAATTAGAATGGCAAGAAAACCAGGGGCCAAGATACCCTCAAACACCTGTGTATTATTTTGATTGTATGTTTGGTGATGGCGTAATAGACTTATTGGTTACATATACAAATATTTACGCCACTCAAAAAAACAAAGTGGGTAATGTAACAAGCAGCGAGATGAAGTGCTTTCTGGGTATTCTCCTTTACAGTGGATACATTGTAGTTCCCAGAAGATACATATATTGGGATAAATCATCAGACACTGATTTCAGTATTGTGTATAACGCTATGTCAAGGGATAGATTCACATTTATCATGACTCACCTCCACTGTTGTGACAACACTCAAATAGCTACCGAAAGCGACAAATTTGCAAAGATGAGACCTCTTTTCAATATTCTGAACGAAATATTTCTCAATATGGCTCCTTTAGAAGAAGTTTACAGTATTGACGAGGCTATGGTGCCTTACTACGGAGGACACAGCTGTAAACAATTTATACGGGGAAAGCCAATTAGATGGGGTTATAAGTTCTGGGTTGGCGCGACGAGATTGGGGTATGTACTATGGTTTGATCCGTACCAAGGCCATGCAGCAATTATTCCATCGGTTTATAGGCAGTTAGGTCTAGGAGCTGGTGTCGTTTTGCGTTTTGCTGATTATTTGCAATTTCGTCACCCAGATGCGCCTTTTCACCTGTTCTTTGACAACTTCTTTTCTTCTGTTCCTCTCTTTCACGAATTAACTAAAAGAGGACTCAAAGCAACTGGAACAATTCGCGAGGACCGTACAAAAAAGTGTCCTTTGCCTTCCAATAAAGAATTCAAAAAAACAGAAAGAGGCACATTCAAGTACAGGTCTAGCCAACCAGGGCATATTTTGGTTTGTAAGTGGAATGACAATAGCGTGGTGACAGTGGCATCAAATTCTGAAACCATAGAACCTTTACATAAAGCGAAACGATTTTCACAGCAGCAGAAGAAATATATACTGATTGATCAGCCAGCGATTATAAAAAGTTACAACCAAAATATGGGTGGGGTCGATAGGTCCGATCAAAACATCGGTCTTTATCGTACATCTGTTCGTGGTAAGAAATGGTATTTTTCATTATTTTCTCACTGCCTGGACATGGCCACTCACAATGCATGGCAACTTTACAAAAGTAATGGAGGAGAGTACGATCATCTCTTATTCCGGAGAACTGTCGCCAGGGGTATCTTGGAAACACATAAGAAAAGTGAGAAGCGCGGTCCCTGCCCTACTCCTAGAACTTATAGGGAAACTTCACGTTACGACAAGATTGATCATCTGATAGAGTACAATGACTCTCAGCTTCGATGTTGGCTTTGCAAAAAAAATACAAACTTTACTTGCCAAAAGTGCAAAATTCATTTGCACCCTAAATCATGTTTTGTAACATACCATACTCCTACATAGATACACTAAGTACTTAGTTTTTTTTTATGAAATAAAAATGAAATGAAATGAAATTAAATAAAACCGAAATGAAATTAACCTTTTTCAGTGAAAAAATGTATATTTTTTATTTAAATAGGATACGACCGGCTAACTTGCACTTGTATGAGCGGTTACCTACCCGCTTATTACTACTGATCGTTATAACGATCCGCATTTTCCGAGCTTTCCGGAAAACCCAGATTTTTTTTACAATATTTCCTGGGTTACTATATGCATTATGGTATTAATATCAAAAAATCACGTTGATACGATACAAAAAATAGTTTCAGTAACAACCGGGTTAAGTTTTTATGTATGTGGCCGCTATGGCTGAGTGGTTTGAGGTGCGGACTACCACTCCGTAGGACCTGTGCTCGATACCTGACCCAAACAAAGCTTCTCATAAAACCATTTGCCGTTCGGAGGCAGCGTAAAATTGCAGGTCCCTCCATTTGTGTTATGACTTCAGGACGCACACCACAAATTGGGTGAGAAGCTGGGCCAAAGACTTGGCAAAAGTGTACGCGCCAAAATATTATTATTATCTATACACGTACATTAGAGTGGTCCAAAAATAACTAAAGTCGGAATTTTAATGCTCTCAACCCCTAGGATTGTGCTGTATTGAAAAAATATACCCCAATTATTTTTTTTTTAAATTTAAAATCAAAAAATATTTAGAGGGTGCTCAAAGCGCTCAAAGTTTCCCACGTACTTTATATGAAAAAAAAACTTTTTGTAGAAATGGTATAGAATTCTCGAAAATCAATATATTTCGATCAGAAAACTTAATTTCTCTTCAGGAGACTGCCAGTAATAATACCCAATTGTTTATTTATCCATTTTTTAATACTAAAAATTTTTAATTGGTCCCCCACTGCATTTTATGGGGTTTTTGGCGGACCTATAAAATATAGTTACTATGAACAAATTTTTTAATAAACAATTGGGTATTATTATTGGGAATTTCCTGAAGATAACCAGAGTTTACCGATCGAAAAATATTGATTTTCTCGTGTTCTATACCATTTCTACGAAAAGTTGTTTCTCCCCATATAAAGTATGTACATGGAAAACTTTGAGCGCTTTGAGAGACCTCCAAATATTTTTTGATTTCAAAATAAAAAAAATATGGCTACATTTTTTTCGGTACGGAACAATCTTACGGGTAAGAGCATTAAAATTCCGACTTTACTTGTTTTTTTTTGTACCACCCCAATGTACATGCACATGCATATACAAACACATATACTGCGAACTAATATCGAAATATTAATGAGCAATTCCATAGTGCTCCAGCAATTAGGCAGCATTTCCAACTCAATCTTAGATGAAATTACATACGTATTTGCAAAAGATATGTTTTGTTTGTAAGCATTTATAAGCAAAACAGTTTATAAATAACGAAAACGCTGTAAGGTAGCTCAATTCTTTGTTTCCATTTGAATATTCTCGCAACAATTTCGCGCACTTAGGAAAGTAACTATTGATATCATCCGGAAAACATACTTTCGAAAAAAAAAGATGAAGTGTTCCTATATAATTATACTATCTCTTGCCCTCGTACATAGCTACAGCCTGGGAAAGAGCCTCGAAGTAGGTATTGATTATATATGTCTATGTACACACATACATATATGCACGTAAATATTTTATTTTATTTTTCTACCATTGCAGCAACAGACAGGCGTATATAGCTTCCCTGCAATTTGTCGTAATCAAAATGGCGTTCTTATACCCATGCCGGGATCCTGCGCAGGTTTTTTCATTTGTGTCGATGGCCATGCCATAGCTAGCTCATGTGGCGGATTCTATCACTTTAATGCCCGCACCGGACTTTGCGATCATCCGCTGAAAGTCGGCTGTTCCAGCAACAATCCACCAATCGAAAATGCAATATCTGCAACAACATCAGCAATAACTAAGTTGGTTGCTCGTCCATCGTTGCCGAAACCGAAAAGTCCCAATGAAGTAATCGCCGATCTGAGTGCTGGTGCAATCTGCAATGACCTGCCAACCGGTATACTGCTGCCTAAATCGAACTCGTGTACGCAATACTATGTGTGTATATATCAGCGACCTTATCGCCGGACCTGCCCTCCAATGTTGCATTTCAATGCAACACGTGGCCTATGTCAGGACCCGACGATGGCCCGTTGCGTCATTCCATTTGATTTAAACAAGCTGGACCGTCAACCAAATGGAAAAACGGAAACGGTGAATGATTTTGAGAAAGGCAAACTGACTAAGGTTGCTATATCGACTGACATCGATGACAGCCACGTAGATAATATTTGCGCTTCGAGTAATGATGGGACTTTGCTCCCCTACGCGGGCGATTGTACCCGTTTCATTTTCTGTATGCGCGGTCAAGTTTTGTCATTATTTTGCCCAGAAGGATACCACTTCAGTCCACGAAACGCACATTGTGAATGGCCTTCAATTGCAGAATGTGCCGGACTCTCTAGATAATGAAAAAAAACATTTTTCCTTGCATTTATATCAATTGAGAAATAAAATTTAATAATTTCAAAGATTGTTGAAGTTAGTTGAAGATATTTTGTTGTTGGGAAAGGTTTTCGCACTTTGACGCTCAAAGAGCTATAATTTGGCCTAACATATTTTATGTACGCTTTGATTTTGATTTGAAAGGCTAAATTCATGTACATGTTTATTTCACAAAAAGTACATATGTATGTATTTATGCATTACATATGTATGTATGTATACCAATTACCAATTAATGAGTTAACAACCGAAACTTGTGGGCCAATCACAGACCCCTAACTTGACATTAAACATCAATTGAGATGAACAACTGCGTTTCACCTCGCACTCACATTGGCATACAATGTAGTCGGAGCTACACGCATCCGTTTCGCTAGCAAAGGAGGTGCCATCAGGTTGACCCACGCAGCGTCCTCCAGTTTCACAATAAGTTCCAGACGGGCCAGCCGAGGGCCCACTTGGTGGGGCTTGGGGCCATGTACAGTTCACATTATTCGGATAGTCACATTGCCCAGTCGCCGAATTGTATTGCAAATTATTGGAGCAAGTAAATATATTTTCTTTTCCGCCCACGCAAACTACGAATTTCTGGCAATTACCTTCCAGAACGTGAGTATAGCCTTCAGTTGTATTGCAACATGTTGGATCACAGTCGATAGTTCCTCCTGTGGGTGCAGGTATTGTTGGTGTTGGCAAGCCCGAGGAAGTAGGCCCATCTGTGGGTGTTGGAGACACTTCTATGGGTGTTGGTGAAGGAGAGTCAGACGTAGGAGTTGGCGACGCATCTGTGGGCGTAGGAGTTGCTCCTGTAGGTGTTGATGTGCCTTCACTAGGCGTGGTAGAGTCTGCCGTAGAAGAGCCTCCTGAAGGCGTGGACGAGCCCCCAGTAGGTGGAGGCGAGTCGCCAGTTGTCGTAGGAATTGGCGAGGCATCTGTAGATGTAGGAGACGCTCCTGAAGGTGTTGATGGGCCTTCACTAGACGTCGGAGAGTCTGCCGTAGACGTTGCTCCTGAAGGCGTTGATGAACCTCCAGTAGGAGTAGGAGAGCCGCTAGAAGGCGTAGGAGAGTCCGCCGTAGGAGTTGGCGAGGCATCTGTGGATGTAGGAGATGCTCCTGAAGGTGTGGATGAGCCTGGACTAGGCGTGGGAGAGTCAGCCGTAGGAGTTGGCGTAGAAGACCCGCCTGAAGGCGTTGATGAGCCGCCAGTAGGCGTAGGAGTTGGCGAGGCATCTGTAGGTGTAGGAGATGCTCCTGAAGGTGTTGATGAGCCTTCACTGGGCGAGGGAGAGTCTGCCGTAGGAGTTGCTCCCGAAGGCGTTGATGAGCCTCCAGTAGGTGTAGGAGACCCGCCAGTAGGCGTAGAAGAGTCCGCTGTAGGAGGTGGCGAGGCATCTGTGGATGTAGGAGATGATCCTGAAGGTGTTGATGAGCCTGAACTAGGCGTGGGAGAGTCAGCCGTAGGAGTTGGTGCAGGAGACCCTCCTGAAGGCGTTGAAGAGCCTGCAGTTGATGAAGGAGAATCGCCAGTAGGCGTAGGAGAGTCTGATGTAGGAGTTGGCGAGGCGTGAGTAGGCGTAGGAGAGTCTGTTTCAAAAGGTGGCAAAGCATCAGTAGGTTTAGGAAGACCTCCTGAAGGTGTTGATGAGCCGCCACTAGGTGTGGGAGAGTCCACTGTAGGAGTTGGCGAGGCATCTGTGGATGTAGGACATGCTCCTGAAGGCGTTGATAAGCCTTCACTAGGCGTGGGAGAGCCTTCCGTAGGAGTTGGCGTAGAAGCGCCTCCTGAAGGTGTTGATGAGGCATCTGCAGGCGTAGAAGACTCTCCTGAAGGTGTGGCCGAGCTTCCATTAGGTGTAGAAGATTCGGCAGTAGGCGCAGGAGAATCAGCTGGAGGAGTTGGGGAGGCATCAGTAGATGTAGGAGAGCCAACGGTAGGTGTTGGCGAGTCTACTGTAGGCGTATGAGATTCCCCTGTGGGGGTTGGGAAACTAATGGTAGTCGTTTTGCATGGGGTGGCTGTTGGGGTTGCTGATTGTGGTGGAGAAGTGGTTGTAGTAGTTGGTGTCGATGCTGGCGTTGGTGCTGGTGTTGAACTTGGTATTTCGCAAGGAGGAGTTTCTGTACTGGGACTTTGTGGCGCTGTTGAGATTGTTGCAGTTGAATGGGATGAAGGCGTAGATGTTGGACTTGGCGTTTCACAAGGAGCCTCTGTTATTGGGGAAGTTGGAGCCGAAGGTGATGTTGAAGTTGAAGTATCGCAAGGCACACTAGTTGGGCAACATACACTGCAATCACATTCGCAACTAGGTTTCACAAGAGATCTTTCCATGGCACATCCGGCCCGGGATGGATAGTCGCATACCGCCTCTTCTGCATTAAAATGCAATCCACTTGGACAGCTTTGAACCCGACCAAACCATGTCTTAACACATATTACAAATTTGGAGCATTCCAAAAAATGGGGGTGTCTGCTACCGATTATCGAATTAGTGCACCTTGGTTCGCTCACATAATTCGCCTCCACGCTTAGCACCAAGACTGCTAACGTTATAACTGCAATAACAATAATCCAATTAGATCGGCCAATGTAGAACCTTCAAAAATGCTTGGCGACTGAAACAAACCTCTTAGCATTCTGCGATGGTTAAAATATGGTCTGCTACTGGAACTTCCGTTTCCACTAAACAAAACACTATGGTGGCCTCATAGCTAGTCCATTCTATTTATATAGGTCGAAAAACAATGCTTAATTGCAATAAAATCATAATTGTTGTTGATTGCATTCAACTAGGAAATACCAACTACGTGTACTATGTATACTCAAACATACATACATATGTATGCAAGTGCAACATGTGTGTTTATTGTTAAAGACTACCTTATCGAACCATATCGATTCGGCCACAGCATCTGTGGTAGTTATCAAAATGTTCATCATTATTTTTGCAATTTTTCGATAAAAATCTTCTATACTACAGTGGCTCTTGTCATTATTTCGCCTGAAAAAAGGCAGTTTATAAATACCCATTACGTATTGAAAAAAAAGTGCAGCTAATGTGGGCTTTTTATAAAATTGTACTTAATTCTGTCAGCAAAAAAAAAAAACCTAATTTCATTCAGCAGTCTTTATTATTAATATTTTTAATTTAATATCATTTTCATTATCTACGCTTAAGATTTCACTAAGCCCGATATTACTTCAAGTAAAACTCTAATTGCTAATTGAACTTATTCTCCTCCAATTAGTGTGTGCGTCCTGATGTAATAACTCAAATGGGTGCAACTAAACTTTTACGTTGCCTCCGAACCGTAAGTGGTTTTTATGAGAAGCTTTTTCAATGCCGAAATACAATTGTAGATTTGCCATTGCCTGCCGAGGGGCGACCGCTGTTAGAAAAACTCTTTATAATTGACTCGGGCCAGGGATCGAATTAAGGTTTTACCCAAAAAGGTTTCATATACACGTGTGGTCAGCTGATTATGTTAAGTGACATTTTGACCAGTTTTCGCTATTTTTCTTTTGTTTATTTAATGTTTATAATTTTTGCATAAAGGTGTAACACATTACACAACCAGAACCACATAAATCCACGTTTCAAGCTTCTAATGTACAAAAATTATAAAAATTCAACAAACTAACAGTTACAACAAAAAATGTTAAACTTTTTACTGGAAATTCATTGATTTGGCGCTTTTAGGAAAAAACTATGTTGGAGTTAGTAAGTCAAAATTAAAAAAAAAATATATGTTGTTACCATATATGTAATACTCCTATATTGGCAGTAAGAGCTAGTACCGTCCGAAAACACTACAGCACAGATATATCAATAAACACGTACGAAAGAAAAGGAACACATACGTTTATAAATAAACATGTACACAACACATATACAAAAACGGCACTCAAGTACACAATACATTGACAAAAACAGTACTAGACTGTCTCGCTCTGATTTCGGAATGCTTACACATTGAGAAGTTAGCTTACTGCCAATATAGAAGTATTACATATATGGTTGTTACCTTCCTAGTAGTTACTCACAATGGACAATTCTGTCTCCGAGTGAAAGTATGGAATATTCCACACATTTTTGTTTCTTGTTTGTGATAAAAAAAAAACTTAATCAAGGCGAACTCATATAAAGGTGGTAGCGGTAGTACAAAAACAAAAACTACATTTGTGTTTTGTTTTCGCTTTCGGTACACATGTGCCAAATTTCAGCCATTCTTCACTCAAGGAGGAAGAGGGACAGAAAACTCTTACTTTCGCACTCACTCATAAGTAGTTTTGACATATGTGTACCGAGGCGAATTAAAGCAGCTGTTCTAGCAACACCACCTTATATGAATTCGCCATGAAATTAGTAGAAAGTCAGATTGCTTGGTTCCGAATTTCGTTTGAACACGATTTTTGTTGAAGACTGTAGCAAATTTTATGCTGCAGTAGTTATATTAAAATTCGTATAAGATTTTAGTGAGTAACCTATTGACTTTCGCACAAAACTGGATTTTGAAAGAAAATCATTCAGGACCTTTTTATACCCGAGCGCACTTATACCTTCGTTCATATAACGGTTGTTTGTAACAGGAAAAACGAATCGAATAGATATAGACAAATGTATACATCAATGATCAGAATTGAAAGAGAAATTGATTAAGCGGTGACTGTCTGTCCGTCCGTCCGTCTGTGCACACGATAACTCGAGCAAAAATTGAGGTATCTTAACGCAACTTGGTACGTGCACTTCTTTCGGGTGTAGGACGGACCACGCCTACCTCCCATATAACGGTAGTTTTCAGAAATAAGAAAACTGCGATATTTTAGTTACTACTGAAGCTTATTCACTCAAAATTTACATATATTTACAATTATTTTTAGGAATATTGTAAATATTTGAAAAATGGGCGTAGCCTTGCTTACTTATGATTATATGTATATATCTTTGTAACCGCGCCACCCATTTCTCCAAAACTTACCGGACAATAACTACGCCCACATCCTATATAACGGTAATTGAAAGAAATATGAAATCTTCGATAAATAAGTAAATACTAAAGGTAATTTATTCAAAATTATGCTTGCAATAATTGTTTACCAAGAAACACATGTATGATAACATTTTGGAAATTGGGCGTGGCATCGCCCACTTATGATCACATATATGTATGTATATCGGTAACCGTTCTACCAATTTGTACCAAGCTCGGCATGGTTATTGTGCTTTCCACATAAAAGTAAAACGTTGAAAATTATTGAAATCGGACTAAAATTACATATAACGGTAAATTTGAGAAATGCTTGAAATTTTAATATTTCGAAATTTAATTTATTCAAAATTGATACTAACAACAATCCCTTGAAAATAAGTAACATTATTTGGAATTTTAAAAAATGGGCGTGGTACCGCCCACAAATGACTATATAAGTCTATCTCATTTTATCTAACTGAACGTCCTATCGCTTACCATGTAGCGGTAGTTTTCGGAAAGGTGAAAAACATATATTTAATACTTGTGTCGGGTATTTAATGTTCGGCTCCGCCCGAACTTAGACTTGCCTACATGTTGTTCCATCTTAACCATTTTTAATTCGCTTTTATTTAAACAACCACGTGTGACTAGTGTCATACTGTCATCTTATTTTTATTCAGTATTATTTAATAATTCATCATAAAATCGGTCATACCCCAACACTGCTTTCTTAAACCACTAATGCCAGTACCGTGTCATCGTCTGACATCACACCTCTGGATTACTTTCTTTGGGGTTATGTAATAAGCCAGCTGTAATTCGAAATTTAGGTGCCAACATCACTCGCGTAATTCACGAGATACCGGTAGCAATGCTGGAGAGTAATTGAAAATTGGACCTTCCGAATAGACCACCGACAGCTTAGCCGTTGACAACATTTGAATGAAATTATTTTTAAAAAGTAAATTTCTGAGACTGTTCTTTTGGGTAATAATAAAGCTTCCATCTTCCAGTTCTGTTTTTAAGATTTTATTTAAAATTAAAAAAGGTTTAAATGAATCACCCGTTAGTACCTTCACCCAGTGCATGTGAAATGTAAAACCATTGAAAATAGACCTGGGTTTAACAAATAACTTTTATTTATGAATTTACACACTCGAATATTTGTAAATATATATGTATGTAAGTATGTATGCAACCCATTTGTCTGATATGATATTTTAACATCTGTCGACCTAAACGAAGGCCATGGGCCAGTCACATACGTTCACATTCGGATTGAATACTAAACCACCCGGGCAAGGCATAGAAATCTCACATTCGCATTGACATACTATATAGCCACTTGATTTAGGATCTGAAAACAAAGTGCCATCTTTCTGACCATCACATTTGCCCTTATTATTACATACGGTACCCGACGGGCCGGTTGACGGTATGATGGGTTTTTGATCGTCAGAGCTTGGCCAATCGCAAACTTTCAGCACTGAGTTAAATATTAAGCCAGAAGGGCACGGCATTGGAATTTCACATTCACATTGGCAAACTATATAGCCATTTGAATCGGGATCAGAGAACATGGCGCCATCTGGTTGATTATCACATACACCTTTGTTATTACAAGTTGTACCTGATGGACCCGTAGCAGGGCCACTTGGTGTTGAAGGCGTGGCTGAAGTGCTTATATCAGGAAGTGTTGTCGATGTGTTAGAAGTTGAAGAAGGGGCGGAAGATGTTGTTGTGACACTTGATGTTGAAGATGTATCTGAAGGATTGGTGCCACTTGTGCTGGTAGATGTATCTTGTGTCGAAGTGTTTATTGCTGTCGAAGAAATGTCCGAAGATGTCGTAAAACTTGTCACTGTTGGAGTTGGAGAAGTGTCTGGTGTGGAAAATTCTGTAGGTTTTGTGGAAGTGTCGGAAGGAAATGTAGCACTTGTAGTTGAGGCTGACGAAGTGTCTGGTGTGGAAGATTCTGTTGGTGTTGTGGAAGTGTCGGAAGGAGATGTAGCACTTGTAGTTGAGGCTGAAGAAGTGTCTGGTGTGGAAGATTCTGTTGGTGTTGTGGAAGTGTCGGAAGGAAATGTAGCACTTGTAGTTGAGGATGTCTCGGAAGTAGTAGATGTGACAATCGGTATTGCAGGTGTGTCCGAAGTTGAGTTTGAAGATGCGTCTGGAGTAGACGAGTCCGTAGGCGTTGATGAAGTGTCAGTGGTGGATGTAATGGTTGCTGTCGAAGATGGAACGGAAGTTGGTGTTGTAGTAGTTGGTGTACTCAAAGTTCCTGAAGTGTTTTCCGGCCAATCGCAAACTTTCAACACAGAATTAAAAATTAAGCCAGAAGGGCAAGGCATTGCAATTTCACATTCACATTGACAAACTATATAGCCGTTTGAGCCAGGATCAGGAAACATGGCGCCATCTGGTTGACCTTCACATACGCCTTTATGGCTGCAATTTGTGCCTGATGGGCCAGTTAATGGTTGATATGGTAATGCAGGAGCATCGGGTGTTGAAAGCGCAGCAGGTAAGGATGCAGCGTCTGGGACTGAGGGCACATCAGGACTCGGTATTTTATTGCAACAGCCGCAGCAGTCACTGCAACATTCACTTACTCTTGACTCTATCCCGAGGCTTGGTAACACCAAGGCTACATCACATCGAGCGCGTTGCTTGAAATCACAAACTCCAAGACGTCGATTGAAGTGCAATCCACGAGGACATTTTCCAACCGAGAACATCCTTTGGCCCTTACAAATTACAAACCGATCACACTGAATGGCATGAGATAAGCGTGTGCCATCCTCTAGACCTTCGCAAGGATCTTTTACGGCCTTGCAGTTCGCATACAGCAGCCATACAAGAATTCCAAAATACACTGCAATAATAGTGTCAGTTTGAATAAACGGAGCTAGGAGCAGAAATCCTTAAGTACATACCGTTTCGCATTTTTATTGTATATTGAGATGCAAAGTGCCCCGGAAATCTTTAAAGACTGATCAGTTTCTTTTCACAGCGGCAACATAATATAAGCAATTCTCGGTTTAATCAATTAAAGAGTTATCGCGTGCAGGTAGTAAGTTAATTAAAACTAAATAAAGACCTATTTTGCAATATGTATTAAGTTCTTTCTTTTGTATCAAATATGGTATACATACATACGTACATAGATTTGTATGCTTATAGTGCAATACTCAGAAGCTGTCTTTTAATTGTAGACTTCTTTTCGGTTAACTGTGGCTGGCATATGTATGTACGGATGTATGTATATATTCCATGGAATAAATGGCATATGTACAAATTTGTGTGTATTTTCAAGCAATCTTATCACTACAAAATGGTATTTTATTCAAACATTTAATTTTTGCAATTTTAATTAAAGCAAAAAGAGAAATTGCAGTGTTTGGCCTTCACCGAATGATTGCTTTCGTTTAGATGAATAACTATGTATCAGGGTTGTTGCGAATATTTGCATTCGCAGTAATCAATGCGGAGCTTTTGCGAATGCGAATGTTGTGCAAGTGCACTGATAAAGCGGATATCTGGAAAACCAAATGACAAATTGTAACCAATATTTTTTTTGTCTGTGGTCGTGTTGCCCGGGCGCCGCACATGGGAATATTTGTGTAACCAAACTGGTCAAATGCCATATTTATCAACTTTGATAAAAATGTCTTTAAACATATTATTTCTTAAGCTATATAACCGAGCTACCAGTGGGCAGTCATACATGTTCGCACTTCTACTTGACCTTTGACGTACGTCAACGAGAACATTGTCCTTTTAATGATATTCTTTTTTCTGTGCTTTAAATACCCGAATCGGTGTCTTTCTTCATTATGATTATTTTGGACCAATCTTAATAAAGCCTTAAAAACTAAAAAATTAAATTGTCGTAATTTGCTTTTGATATATTCGTTTCAACCATTTCAAATGGGGCTCTTTGGAGAATTTATTTGTAGCAATAATTTAAAAAACAGTAATTTTGTTTACTTTTCGGGCAATATCTTTTTCATAGGGATATACATTGGATCCTTGGATAAAAACTTCTTGGTAAAACTCTCTCCCAACGTTTTCCTTCTTTGCTATTTAAAGTCAAAGAATAAGCTCCTTCAGTAGGGATTTTCAGCAGAAATGGTCAACGTTTGGCTATAGAGAGAATCGATGCTCAAACAATTAAAAAGCTATAGGTCTGACCTTTTATTAGGTAAGAGTTACGTAACTACCTGAGACCATCACCATCCGTCACGAATTTGAAAACAGAATTTTGTTCAAAATTTTCATTCCTGGAAAATAATAATTTATTTTCCATATCGACCTACATATTTAGCTCGCTATAAGCACAAATTTTTCAAACTAGTCGCAGAAGAATGCATTAAAAATAAATTACAAATTTAGCAAAAAAAACCGACTTAAAAAAAAAATAGATATATATTCCTTATGCTCCAATGCTCGGTTCTAAACCAGATTAGTATGGAACCACCTCTGAGACACTACCTTTCCGATGCAAAAATCGGTTGACGTGGTCCAAAGATATGCGGTTACATACATAAAAAAAAATATTGCGACGAACTGATAACCTCCTCCTTTTTTGGAAGTCGGCTAAAAACTACTGATGAACGCTAAAAACTCTGAGACGTTACAGGTTCCCCAAATTCTGAAACAGCCAAAGGAATGAGAATGAAGAATTCTTTTTAAAAAGTTTTCGAAAAACCTGACACATCTGGTTTGGCTTGTAAGCGGCGTTTAAACAACGATCTCGCCATTATCCTAGATTCTTCAAGTGAAGATGAAATTTAGGAGGACACATCCGACATTTTCAGGCCCGATGCAACTCTCATTTCTTTTTATTAAATATAATGTTCCAATTTATAAATTCAAGTACTAAATAAAAAAAAAAATATTTAAAATTACAATTTTGTAATTTTTCTATTTACCTAAACAACTTAATTTAATTGTTTCTTAAAAATACTTGACATCCGCAGATGTCTAAAATTCCACATTCGCAACATCCCTACTATGTATGTATATATGTACGTAAATATGTGCGTAGATCAGAACAAATATCGCTGATTAAGAAATTTAATTTGTGTGCGAAAATTTTCATATGCACATAAATACATGGGTATGAAGATATGGCTCATTTGCTAAAAACTGTCACATCCGCTCGAATGGTGCACCTGAGTTATACTGCTTCATCTGACCATGACTCCTGGATTTCGGGGCTTTAGCTGCAATACACTCCGCGCAGTTAGCAATCCACTCTGTGAACCTCTGCTTTATCTTCTCCAGGGTCTTCGTGATTCCCAGGTGCCCTCCACTAGGACCATTGTGGAATACCTTGAGTACATCCGGAATTCCTACCCTTAGTACTACTATTAGGTTGCGGGAGCACTGGCCATCTTCACTTTCCCATACCCTGTGCAAACAGCCATATATTAATTTTAAGCATTTCCATTGTCCCCAGTACGCCTTTGCGATGAGGCTTTCCGCTGCCATTTGCTCCTTAGTTGGCCTTCTGTCTACTTCCAGTCCGTGCATCAAAAGCTCCAGATCTGGATCTTTCTTCTTCTTCTGCTGACACTTTCGTAGCTGTTCTTGCTTCCACTCTTCCGCTGGTGTTATTGGCGTTAGCCGGACGTCTATTATGTCTTCTTTGCCTTCAGCTTTTGATCAGTGTTTACATTCCAGGCTACATGGTCGACGGGACATGGCATCAGAATTTCCGTGGACACTTCTCTTGCGGTGCTCTATAGCAAAGTCATAACTTTGCAGTCTCTTAATCCACTGAGCTAGCTGCCATTCTGGATTCTTAAACTGTAGTAGCCACTTCAGCGCTGCATGGTCCGTTCGAACTCGAAAACGTTGCCCATAGAGGTACTTGTGGAAATGTTTGACGCGCTCCACCAACGCTAGTAGTTCTCTACGAGTTACGCAGTAGTTCCTCTCTGGTTTTCCAATCGACCGGCTATAGTAGGCAACTACCTTCTCCGGCCCATCAATTATCTGCGACAGTACGCCTCCTATGGCATAACCACTAGCATCCGTATGCAAAATGAACGTTGCACCTGGAACGGGATACGCTAGCATAGGTGCAGTACATAGCCGTTCCTTGTAGAGTCTGGAAAGCGTCCTTCTGCTCCTTGATCCACTCGAAGGCTCTATTTTTCCTCGTGAGCTCGTGGAGGCTATTAGTAATGCTGGCGAAATTCGGAACGAATCGGCGGTAGTAGGTGCATAGCCAAAGAAAACTTCGTAGTTCGTGCAGGTTCCTAGGTCTTGGTTAATCCTTTACGGCTTCTATCTTTTACTTCGCAGTACAGGTGCCCTCCGTTGTCACCTTGTGCCCTAAGTAGTTCACCTCCTTTTTGAACAGTGAGCACTTTTTAGGACTTAGCTTCAGGCCAGCGCCAGCTATCCTCCGAAAAACTTCCTCTAAATTGTTAAGGTGTTCCTCGAAGCTTTTACCCAATACAATAATGTCGTCTAGATACACCAAGCAGGTTTTCCAATGCAGTCCCTTAAGCACATGGTCCACAAGCCTTTCAAAAGTGGCAGGAGCGTTGCATAATCCAAAGGGCATGGTCCACAAGCCTTTCAAAAGTGGCAGGAGCGTTGCGTAATCCAAAGGGCATGGTCCACAAGCCTTTCAAAAGTGGCAGGAGCGTTGCATAATCCAAAGGGCATCACCGTGAATTGCCGCAGACCGTCTCCAACGCTGAAAGCTGTCTTCTCCTTGCCCTCGTCACTTACCTTCACTTGCCAATAACCGCTCTTAAGGTCGAGTGTTGAGAACCACTTTGTTCCAGTCAACGAGTCCAGAGTGTCATCGATCCTGGGAAGAGGATAACTGTCCTTTTTCGTCACATCGTTTAGTTTCCGGTACCGGCGAACTCCATGGACTCGCTGATGGTTCAATCACACCACTCTCGCTCATTTCTTTTATTATTTGGCTAACAGTTTCACGTTTGGCCAGTGGAAAACTCCGAGGAGCTTGACGGATTGGCCTTACATCACCCTTTCAGAACAGTAGTCCTGCCTGGTTTGTTGCGGTCCTTGTCGAATATGTTGGAGTATCTGTGGAGAAGTTCCTTAGCCTTGTGCTGGTATTTTTCTTCCAACCCTTCCGTCCAAGCATTTATGTCTTCCGCAATGTCATTCGCGCTAATGGAATCGCTTTCAGGTAATTTTTCGCAGTTGAAGATTGCCTCTACCTTTCGACATTGTCCCAGTACAGTTCCTCTTCGGAGTTTAATTGGGGATTTGAATTCATTAAGTACTCGCACTGGGATGCGTCCATCTTTTTGCGTCTTAGCCAGGGTTTTACCAATAAGTACGTCCGGTGTAGAATGTGGTGTTGCTTCAACAACCCACAATTTGTTTGTCCCACAATCTCCGCCCAAACAACTGCTTCTGACTTCGGTGGAATCTGCTCGCTTTCCTCTAGGATCACTCGCTTGCTGCTGTACGGGCCATTATACCCAAATCTAAGGGGCACTTCCATATTGTTATATGTCATAATCCTGTTCTTCATGTTGATCTGCATACCTTTATCAAATAAGAAGTCTATTCCAATGATGACTTCATCCACAATCGCCGTGACTATAAACTTGTGTAACACCGTCACATTCCCTATTGTGACTTTGCATGTTACCTCTCCTTCAACTTGCTTGTCCTCAACCTTGCTCCAGGTAATGGCCTTACCTCTTTAGTGACCAAATTAGATCGAATGATGGAATGTGATGCGCCCGTATCCACAGTTAGTACTGGCTCATGTCCGTCCACATATCCACCAACAGTAACGTTGCTCGCTTTTCTGCCAATTCGCGAGACGGAGATTATGGGCATTCAATTGCGGGAGCCAGCGTGCGTCCCTTGCTGCTAGCTCGTTTTAGTTTAACGACTGATTGGAGTTGAATTCGTCTCCTTTAGCCCTGCGTTTGCGTCCTGCTGAATTGTTGAGCCCACTGAAACTTCCGCTGCAATAGAGGGCGAAGTGGCCTGGCTTTCCACATTTAAAACATTTGCCAGAGCCATGCTTTTTCTGCCCAGCAGTTGGATCATCTTCTTTAGTATTTCATTTGTTTCGTCCGGTGTTTCCACTTCCACGCGATGTGCTTTGTAGGCAGGTCTACTTAGGAGTGCCGCCGTTTCACGTGGCAGCATACGAGACCGTTTCAGCAAATGTTGGCTTTGGATTCGCGTACGTTTCTCGCTTGATATACACGTCCCGCATTCCGTGAATGAACCTCTGGATTTTTACCCTTTCGAGGTGCTCACCAGATGCGTCTCCAATAGCCGAGTGAGCCAACTTCTTGATCTCTGAGGCGAATTCTTGTAGTCTCATTGGGATTTTGACAGCGGTTCTCCAACTCCATCTGGTAAATCTGTTTCCTGTGCTCGCTACCATAACGTCTTTCCACTGCACCCATTAACGCACCGTAACTGTTCCTTTCACAATTAGGAATAGTCTGGAAGATTTCCGCTGCAGGTCCTTTTAATGCAACAAACAGAGCAGCGGATTTATCCTCCATGCTCCAGTGATTTGCTGTAGCTGTCTTCTCAAACTGGAGCTTAAAGACCTGGAAAGGGATCGTGCAATCAAAGGATCGAGTTTTTACCTTGGGAGCGTTCGTCGAAGCGGCTGGACGATTCAACTGCAAGTCTCGGAGTCGACCTTCCAACTCGCCCATCTTAGCCTCGACTTTGCCCTGTCTCTCTTCGATTTTTTCCTGTATTTGTGCAATCTTTGCATCCTGTGCTTCCAGTTGTGATGACATCTGCTCTGATACCGCTGATGATATACAGTGTCTCCAGCGCTTGTATCTGCGATGAAACATCTGACGACAACTGCGACCTTTGTGCTTCAAGCTGTGTTTGCATCTGCGATGATAGCTGTGATGACATCTGTGACATGGCAGCCAATAACGTGTTCATGTCCATAGCTGTTGATGAACTAGGAGCCTTTTGCTGTTCTTCAACATTCCCGGATGTCTGCTGCATATCATTCGACGAACAAGCAGCCTCATCCTTCTGTTCGTCCTTTGCGGATGCATCGTCGGGTTTACCCTGGAAGTCGTATTTGTCCACGTCGATGCCTTCAGCTTCCATAGCCTCTCGCAACCGGGATAACAATTCCACTTTTCTTCCGGAGGTGGCCAAATTCCGCTTCTCCAACTCCTGTTTCAGCTCCTCAATCTTTAAGTCCTGAATCTTCGCCATTTTCAGTAGTTTATCCTTCGGGATTTATTTAACAATCCCACTTCTGACACCAATTGTTACGATTATCTTCGAAACCTTGTGACAGCCTATTCTCCTTACCGCGCACACAACCGCGGTTGTCAAAAAAGTAGGGCCCCAACAAGGTCCTCAAGTCGCTCGCCGGCTGCACCTGGGGCAAAAACAAAGGAACAGGCAGCATACAAGGCAATTGGCCGCCCGGTTCTAAACTATGCTTCGCCTGTTTGGTCGTCGGGCACTAGTTGGCCGCAGTGGTCGAAGCTTCAGACATGTAGAAGCGCCGCACTCCGGACGGCGACAGGTTTCCTTTTGAGCACCACCTATATAGTCTGAGCACCACCTGTATAGCGAGGCCCAAATATTTGCCGTAAGGGAGCATAACAAAGTGCTCAGCAAGCAGTTTCAAGCAAGCACGTCAGAGGGCGCCTACTCTTATACATGGACGCGGTCCAGTAATAAATCGACCAGCAGTTATACCAAATTCACACATCGCGGCATTAATGCAACTTTATTCGTGGTATTTTGATGAGACATGCAAAGAGGTTACTGACAACGAAATTATTCCCTTCATATTCATTTCACAAATCGAAAAGACAATTCTCGTAAGAATGTTCTGCGACATTGTAGTTTTTGTAGCAGCATACATATTCCCCACAGAGTTTTTGGGGAGTGATGCTGGAGTGAAAGTCCTTGGCCAGATCGGAACCTGGGTCGTGCCGGTTACGTAGACACCACTATTGTGGGAACGACAACAATGGTACATTAAGTTAAGTGAACCTCCCGTCTTTAACTGTTATTCCCGATTGACACAAATCGTCTTCTTGGGAGTATAAACCGGCTAACTACCTTAAGAAATTTTACAGAGATTTGTTGCTTATAAAGCAACATTCTGCTAGAAAATATGAGTTATTGTGGGCTTGTTCGAGGCTTTTAATAAAAGCGGCAGTGCTTCAGCACTGATGAAAATTTGCAACACTGTTGCAACTGCTCAAGTGATACCACATTGCTAGAATTTTACATCCAACGTGATACGTGATAGGCGGAGTACTGCGGTTGTGATTGCCACTCGAACAGCCCTGTATTTATTTTATTTTTATATTGGGTTTGATTTCTAAGCAACAAATAAAAATTATTAGTAGTTGTTAGTCTGAGCTGTAAATTTTCTTTGGCGGTAGTTAGCATATTTACATTCCGATGCGACGAAATATATGCATTTATGAATTCACGAATAATTGTTTCTGCTACAGAACATAAATAGTTGAAATGAAAAAGAAGCCAGATTATTTGCAAAGAAATATTTTTTATATACAGATTTCAAGAAAGACTTCAATAGCAATATTCAAAACTCTAGATATTCGCTGCATTTACTTTTTACATCCATCATGGTTCAATGCACAAAATATTGTTTATAGTAATAGTTATTTAATGAAAACGTTTTAAGATATGAAGATCCAAGTATAGGAGTGTTCGCTATGCACCTGCCACTAAGAATTAGCCAGTAACAAAATTCAGAGAATAAGGTACCTTACTCTCCCAAAGAGAGAAAATTATCCAGCACAAATTTGCAACTTCCCCTCCAAATGAAATGTCAAAATTGTGCTCTCTCCTTGCAAGTTTTACTGGGTTTTTGCATAAACGAACACGATTTGGTAACAATTGGTACCAACTTGTACAAATTTTGTGCATAGCGAACACTCCTTATATGTACATATTCTGCGTGTGAATAACCAAAGATACATATATTATATATTGTTTTTATGTAAGTCCTTAAATATATACGTATATGTTTTTTTTTTTAATAGTAAGATTATTAACTAGTTTTGCACACAAGCACTGTTCAAGCGAGTAACAGCTATCAAGAATTTTAAAGGACTTGCCAACTTAATATACACAAAATTTTCAGGCAAATGCTGTCTACAATGGAAGCCCTTGGAACTACCAGTACATGAATGCTAAATTATATAATAAAATATATGTATCCAGTAGTCTAGTTTAGGGCAATTTCTATATCATTTTTTTCACATTTTATTATTTGCGCATTTTCATGGTGTATATGTAATGCTCTTGGTACATCGTTATTTCATTATGTTTATCACTAGTCCAAATCAGTATTGTATATAATTTGTATTATTTCTGAGTGTTTAATTCATGAAATGCGTATGGAAATCAACAAAAAAATCGAAATAAACACATTGTTAAGAAATAATTACAATGAGTAACCATATTTTTCCTTCATTCCGTTATATATTCGTGTATATGACGTTAGAATTGAATTCTCCATCTAGTATTTTGTTTTATATTTAGTATTATAATTTACGCCTACGAGTTTT